ATTTATTAAAGGTTTTTTTCGGCAAATAACTTCACCCAATGTAATAGCATCACAAGGAAAATTAAATGAATTATTTGAAATTCTATTAAAAGTAAAATTAAACTACTTTTAATTTAATTAGAAGTCATTTCTTTTTGCTTTTATTTAGTTACCTAATCATTTCGATAATGTTGATTCATTTCATCCAGATAATATTCCAGGTTGTGTTCAAAGTTGTCTTGATCATGTAAGAAAAAATTTCTAGAAAATAGGTCTTTTTTTTTTATTTATTTGATATAATTAGACTCATGATGGCATAATTCGTGAAGATATATTCGTTAATTGGATGGGTCGAGAACCACAAACACTAGTATGGTTGCCAACATTACATCGATTGATTGCAACGGAAACAGGTGCGTTTATTTAAGCATCCTCTCTCAAAACTTGAACTTAGGTTAAGCACATTCATATTGCGTGAAGTTTTCAGGATATATTGGAGCTGTAGTGAAGAGAAGAGACCGAGAGGCTGATCTCAGAATTGATATAGTTCAAGTCTGAAAATTTTCTATTAATCGTGTCCAAAAATTTTGGATGTAATGGACTTTAACGGAGAGACTATGCTAAAACTATCAGTCATAGATCGTGATGTTTTCCGAAGATATTGAACAAACAAGGGTTAAAAATTGCTTATTTGACCGCAAAAGATTCTCTATGCTTTTCTTTTTTATATGGAGAAAAAGGGTAAAAAGTTCAATACCTTCAAAAATGGTCATCTATTTATAGATATGCTTTTTTTTATATTATAATGAATGAAGCTTAATTAAAAAACAGACACTGCAGCTTCACATGCTTTTTCAAACCAAAAAGAGCAATTACTTATAATGAGGCTTCTTCAAGAACTGTGGGATACGTAATCAGAAAAGCGTATTTTTCAAGCAGAATGTGACGAAAATCATCAAAAAAACGAAGTGCTAAGTAAAAAATCATTTTGTTTATGAAATATTAGACCTCGGACTATTTCAATGTCAAGTTTTTCGATGACGATTGATTTATTTTTAAACAGATCTTCTGAAAGTTTGTGTTATTTATAAAAAAAAAGAAATTGTTGTGTTCTTTTAGTTCGACATGAAGCACAATGTAATACTTGTAAGGCCTATCCTGTTATTGGCATGCGGTAAAAATCAATTCAATCGAAGATTAAAAGATTTCAATTGTATGATTTAGATATCGATGTCTTCGATGTTTTAATTATGATCTTTGTCAAACTTGTTTTTTTACTGGTGATCATGCTAAAAGACATGATGGAAGTCATCCAATTGAAGAATATTGTAAACAAGTAAGAGAAAATAAAATCTATAACAGAGAGACGAAATTTATATATGTATTTTTTTCAACAGGTAACACCATTTGAAGATTTAAAAGCATTTTTGGAATTTGTTAAACTTAAAGTTGGAAAACGTGAACTTCGAAGAAAAGAACGTTATCTTACGATTGAACGATCGAAATCATTGTAAGAAGTTTTATATTCGAATGTTAGAAGTATTTTTTTTTTCTTAATAGAATACATAGGATTAGAAGATATTCATAATTTGACATTATGATACTATACATTAGATTCATTTAAGAATACACATGTTTAAACACGAATTTGGACGCATTCGTTAAGTTGCATCAATCAATTTGTTTTCTTAAATTCTACTAATTTTTCCAAATAAATATTCTTTCATAGCAAATGTTCCTAGATAAGATCTAATAAGTCCAGTATAAAGCATGACCGAAATCGAACCTAAATGTGCTGGTGCCGACCTCGTCTACTTAAACAAGATTAAATTAAAATGCTAATGTTTTTTAAGAGTAGGCATGCGCCCAAACCATTTTAGTCATTCTTACCCATATGAAAAAAAAATGTTCTTATCTATTGAATCCAGTGACACAATATTTTTCCGTTGGTAGAAAATTGAAGTAGGAAAATAAGACTAAAGAACTTCGAAAGAGATATTTCAGTGATGTTGTTAGAGCTAGTCAAAAAAACGCAAATCTAATGATTTTGGATTATTTTTCAATATCTTCTCAATTTCTTATTAAATCAAATGGTTCATTGAATCATTCTCTGTTTGGTTGTCAAAAGTAGACACTATTTTACATAATTTATTGATATAGTTCATAATCAATGAGACGAATTTAAAATATTCAAATTCTATTATTCGATTTAAGTGCATTCTTGATGCCCATGTCAGAATTAAAGGAAAGCGGCTGTAAGTTAAAAATTTGACAAGAGCAACAGCTATCAACCTGCCGTTTCCAAGAATCGAAAGAGAAGAACTTCGGACGTCTTTTTGTCTGAGACTGTAAAAAGAAAAACTATTTTAAAAGGTATCATCTTTGCAAAAGATTTTTGAAAATGCATGAAAGCTTTTTCATATGTTAATGTTAAGTAAACAAAATTAAGTATCTATTCGTTTAAATCATATAGAATTCTGTCGGTTTTTAGTAAATTTTCTAACATTTTATCAAAGTGTTCTTGAAACGGAACATTGTGTTTTTGAATATCGTGTGAAGATAACCAGCTTCAAAATAATTTTGTCTTACATAATATCGATATAAAGCCATTGGAAGTCTGCTCTTCCGCTTGGTGAAAACTGCAGATCGATAGCTGTTGCTTTAGTCAAGTTATTGAGCTTACATCTACTCACTTATGATGCTAGCACGTACATTAGTCAACTGTAAGGTCATACTCTAGTTTACAAGATTTCAATACAGTCATTTTAATATAAAGAACTATTTTGAATAAATTCAATTTTTTAGTTCTGATACACAAGTCAGTTCATCGGTAAATAGTTCAAGTCAACTCATGACTAACGGACATCATTCATTAAATCGTCAAGAACAATCTACTAAAAAAGTATTATGTTTTTTTTTTTATGAAATAAATTTCAACTTTTATTTTTCTTCTTCTAGGCTCAACTTCAAGAAATCTATCGAACGATTCCGAAGAGTGAATCAAATGAAACATCATTACCTATCAAGTATTAGAAAAAGAAATTTGTTTTTTTCATTAGAAATCAATATTATTATTGTCTTCGTTCGTTTTAGTACACATGAAAATAATGAACAAAAAATTCCATTAATTGGTTATGATAATGTAGAAATAGAACAAGAAAAGAAAAAAATATCATCACCATCAAAAAAAAAGAAATTCACAGAAGATGAACCTCTATTAGAAAAAGATCAATCATCATCTCCCATCAAATCTAAAAAATCAACAATTCAAGATAATAATTATGTTAATGTTAAACAAAAAAAAAACTCTTCATCGAAACAAACAGAATTACCTGATGATGATGCACCAATACTTATGCCTAAACAACATGTACCAATAAAAAAATCTTTATTAATAAAACAACATACAATTGAATTAGTTCATTCAGAACATTATCAATTACCACCGAATGAACAAATTGATGACGATGATAATTATCAACCACCATTACCACCAAAACAACGTCATCAAAATAATACATCTCGTGCATTAGTTTATGATTTTATTGGAAGTGAATTACAAGAATTACGTGTAGCACTTGCTCAATTTGATGGAAATTCATCATGTAAATTCATAAACAAATAGAATATAATTAATTTTTTTTGTTACATGTCTTTTCTTTTTTTTTTCTTTTAGCTGCTTAATCAAATCATCTCGGATGTCAACACAGTATTATAGAATGTATCTAGCGATTCACAAATGTTATCTCTTATTGTTTTGTTTTTTGTTTTTCTCTTGTATTGAATCTCTCTTTTTATGCAAATACAATGTGGGCTGCTGTGAGCATTGTAGCGATTTTTTTTTTCTAGTGAATCATTTTTGTATTTATCGAGTTTTGCTTTGTTTTCTTTTTCTTATAATGATATAGTCAGATAGTGTTTGCCATATATCTTAATCATGTGAAATAATCTTTTTCTTTTTAAAATGTATACAAATAAATATTCTTATTAATTGCATTGTAGATGATAAAAATAATTAATCTTAGTTTTTACTAAAAGATTATCTAACAATAAGTATAAAACTAAAAGAAATACATTGAGTGTAACTCACTTTTATATCAGTTTTGCTTCCTATATACACTAACTCACCTATACTAGTCACAAGCAAAGGTGTATGTCACAATGTAATCAGTATGCTATTGAGCAGATGATCTAAGAGAAAAAGCTGTGTGTACTCACTCAATCTGATAACTGAGTACTAGAGACCTGCACGAGATACAGCCTGTTGAATCAGATCAGGGTGTGTTAGTTTTTTCGTTAATCGCATCTGATGAGCTCTAGAACGGAGTCAACTAATTTTTGTTCCGGAAACTCAATTTTAACGTAAGAACTTTTTCTTGACTAATAATATTGTTCCCGTATATTAATTGTACAAATTTATGTATTTTGAATATTTCAAGGACGTCTTCTCTATATTTATGGATATGAAAAACATTCGTTGTTGAATTGGACTCGGAATCTGCTCCATGTCGATATGTCTTTATGAGACGTTGTTGAAGTCTCCTAATTACATGAGATTGTACAGTAAACACGAGAGAAAAAAAAAACTTACGATTCCATAAAACTTTCATACTAAAACTAAACTTTTGACTGGAAAATTTCGTTGACTCCGTGTAGATGGCAAATGAATATGACTTACTGAATGATAAAAAGAAACAGAATTTTGAAATAATATGCAAACGACTTCATATTTTATGTACGATGAATTTTGTTTAAATAAAGTTGATTCTATTGTTTTTTGTTTTTATTACAACCCGAAGATTAAATATTATTGAATACGCACATTTACCCGTGTTCTATTATATATACAAATAACTTCATAAGTTAAATGTTCAAAAAGAAAAATAAATTCATTGTTTAAACACTTTTCAGTGTTAATGTACGTTAATCAAAGTATAGCTTAATAAGATTTGATCGCACGTTTTGTTTTTGTCTCATAATCAATTGTCGACACAGAAATGGCATCGAAGCAATGTATTTATTTATTTATTTTCGTCATTTATTTCAATAGCTTGATCGAAAGAATTTACCGATAACATCACTGGAACTCGTATCGATTGTCGTCGTTTCACATATTTTTTCAAATAACCACCTGTCAATCGCCATCCTTGTAGAAACCTTACATCAAGTGCAGCTATTATTATAGGATCCAACGTTATACTAATATAATTTAATTTTTGTGCGATAGTGCCAATTGTACTATTCTTGTAATAGAATGGAAAGACAAGAATATGTGGCGACCATAATAAAATCCAAAGCGAATAAAATACACTTGATTGTATCACTAATTGACGATGATATTTCTGTCTTGCATCGACTATTTGTTGTGTTCTAATACCATCTGTATTACGAACATAATTGAGACTGAGTGAAAGAAATACTAATGTAAGCGAAACTGGTATAAAATAGGATAGGAGAAGAAATATGATCTTAATAGCAAATGAAATAGGCAATAAATCACATACATCACCTGGTGGATTTTGAAGTATGGTCCAACCGAATTTAACTGCTATTATATGACTGAATAATGGTAAAAAATAAATAAGAAAATGAACAAGCATTATTGTACGACGATTTGATGAGTAAACATTATGGTTGTGAGCAATCTGTAAATATCGACAGATGTTCAATGTCAAAAGAATATAACTCTGCAAAAGATTTAGATAATTATCAAAGATGGCTTCACCATAACAAATGATGGTATGAAAAAGACGTGGTACACATATTGGCCACCAACGATAAATGTAGAGTAAAAAGAATCGAACTAATAATAATAAATCAGTAGTTAAATAAGCATACAACCATTGCATTGACCATCGAGGAACCGTTGGAAATGCAACTAGTTGAATCCAAAAAAGAACATGAACGATTGTTGCTATAATACATATATAAAAGAGAGGTTTCATTATTTTTGCTGCTTGTTCGGACCATAAAATAATTTCACAGGTATTCACATCATTCATTTTATTGATAAAAATATCCAACTAAAATAATACTAACAATAATTCTCTCTGCCTTTCAACAGTTTAATGATGAAGCTAGAGCCTTACTCGAATATAAATTCATGATAAGTCATGCAACTAATTAATTATGATGAAGAGGTTGTTAATTTATGCATGCATTTTTTATCATTGATAGAATATTTATTAAAATTATATAATTCAAGGTATTAATGATCAGGATATTTTACGACGGTAATATTTATGCTGACTATGGAAAATTATTCAAAAAGATTTATTGCCGATATTTTTCGCTATCTCAAAATCGAAAAAGAAATAGAATAGTTTTTCGAATAGACATAATTATTATATGCGGACAACTAAAAAGGTTAGTTCTTTATTACTTAGAACGTGGAACTATTATTGTTTTAGATTGAATAGAACGATAAAATAAAGAATTTCCTACGAAATGAGACGCCTTTGAGCTATTTGTGACGCTTTTCTAATTAAGATAGAGCAATTTGATTGAAGGTCCTAAACTAATTTTTTTTCATAGCGAATAGTCAAGAAAACATATGTTAGGCTCATCCATATGATTATTGTACTGCAACTGAAGAATGTCACAGCAAATTCGAAGACATTTCATTCCGTAGAGCATTGCTTGCTCTAGCGCTCTATTCAATGTAAACAAAATGATAGGTCCCCAATCTGGATGATAAATTATTAAGATTTCGGTTTCTGTATATTCTTATTGTAAATAATCATATCTATTCGAAGTATTATCCCAATTCTTTTACATATCTAAGGGAGGGAACAAAATTAAAAAAAAAATAAAAACTTTTGTTGATAGTCACTACCTGATTTTTTATTATATTTTTTGATCAATATCGATTAAACTATGAGTATTTACATACTTTGCTATCGAGACATTATTCTATAGGAAAACAATTCTCAATGATCTACTTATTTAAAACAAAAATTAAGTTTTAAGAAAAAGTTTTTTTCGTATCAAACTTAACATATTATTTAATGTGGCTTGTCTATCTGATCACTCATAGATACAACACTTGTCGATTATATAGATGGAAAATAATTAGGAATAGGCATAGTCGTACAAAATATTCTCAATCAAGCATTCTATTGTTTTGATTCCGAGAAAATAGAAAAATACTAGCAATCAGCTCTCACTCATATAAATTGAAAGAGAAAATTTTTAGTCGGTCTACTGTCGTCGGCAATGTCAATAGTAATGGACTATAACAAGTAAGAAATACAAGAAATGCATTATTGTATTTGGCGTTTGTTGTGACATTTTTCTTTCTATTCTATGGTTATTTCAAGAATCTTATAACAAGTAAGAAAATAGGAAAAGAATCATAAAGAAAATGATTTGCAAGCATTGAGAAGAAACCCATGAATTATTTGAGAAAAAAAAACTAAACATAAATTGATTTCTTATTTTTACGAGTCTTACAATCATATAAAATCCAATGTAAACTAGTTTTGTTTTTCTTTATATCACAATTAGAAAAATCGATGTGTAGTTATAAAACATATTATTGACAATGAAAGTACAATAAGATAATACGAAACAATCCTTGGAGAATACTATCTTTTTCTTTTGAAATAAATCTATTATGATATCTTGACAAGCAAAAATGATTTAGAGCTGCTTTACATAATAAATTTTTCTTTTGTTTAGTATATAAACACATGAATTTTTATAAAAACAAACATAATAACATATTACAAGAAAACAGTGAACGTGAGTTAATGTTCGAGTCACTTTTACAAAAAGAAAAACATCATGCCTTGTAGTTCATCGTCAAGACTAACAATAAAAAGAACTATAGGATGTTCCAAAAGTTTGTGAAAAAAAAACAAAGATAGATATCTTTTAAATAGTTCAAGTGATTTATATGTTTAATTTGCAATTGTCTGTAGTTTTATTTCATATAATGTTATTCATGATAAATTTTGAAAATGATTACCATTACTTGACATATTTGAAAAAAAAGATACTAAAAAAAAGTTTAATTTTAAAGGAATTTATTCTGCTACTTATGATGAATTTGAATTCGGTTATATTTTAATGCCTGACGTGTTGAAATTCATAACAAAGTGTAATAGCTTAAATTATTTGGTGTCCTATTGATCGTGGAATGAAACAGCATGTCATCACAGTCAAAATATTTGATAGTAACTCATTTTCACAAACATCATGATCTGAAGTTTCAGAATTTCATCAATAAGACTTTCGCTAATTCGACTGTGAACTAGATGTGCATTAAAATAAAATTCACTATCAACTACATTAATAGGTTATGTTCATCTATGCCGTAGCCATGTATTGTATATGTCGTTTCAGATAATTATTATTTGGTTAATACCTGTCACAACTTACACTGCTGCATTACGATCTGCAATTACTGAGAGAATAAGTTTGTCAGCGAGTTCGGAATGTGGCTGTATTTGTAAGTCATCTTTTAACCCACACCGACACCCACAACAAGGTTATTAGCCGATGTAATTAAGTCTCTAGTTCATCGTATTCGTGAAACTGCTTGGCGTCGAATAAAAAGGAAGTAAAACAACAGTAATGTTTGTAAATTATATTTATCTGGTTCATCGCCAGATAAGTATTAGATTCATTAAATTTTATTTGTCTTTTGTTTTCAAAGTAATTTTGCTGTTTTTCTTATTAAAAACATGACTCGGCCATGTTTGAATACATCCTGAATGTCGACTATGATAGGTATTCTAATAATATGGTCTTCAGCCCTCAAATTTATCCTCTATAAATATTGTTTTGTGACAGCTTGCGAAGTTTCACCACTCTATGAACTCTATAGATTTGATAGTACTCTTGTTTCACAAAACGATTAAAAAAGTATCTCAAATACAGTCTACATTTGGTGTTTGAATGCCTTATTCGAGCTGTATTTTTTGTTTCCATGTAATAAATGACTTGAATTTGAACATTAATAAAACTAGTGGTATTCTAATGTCTTTAGATACGGAAATTTATCAGAAAATAAATAGTATATGATTTCAAAGAACATACTATTATAATGTAAAAGATATACACTTTCTTTTTCACGACGAATTTTTTAAAGAATTAGTAATATTTAGAATCAAATGCATTATTGAGACATTTAAGGATTAAAGAAATTGCATTTAAAGTTATTTCAAAAAATAAATTAAGGTAAGATTATTCTTATGAAAATGAATCAAATTTCAAAGTAGATTTAAAATAAAATGTTTTATTTATAGACTTTCAATACAGAAAATCATGGCATACATTAACCAATATCTGTAGATAATATCAACATGTGTTGTTTATTTTCTGATCCATCTCTTTTTTATATAAATTGCAACAAAAATCGACGTATGATGGTTCTCCAGTATATTTTGCATGCAATAGCAAGAGAACAACTAAACAATTTGTTACTAATATGGCAATTATTTTGCTTCTATCTAATTAGCAGGTAAATAGAGAATATAAGCTTTGAATCAACTATTATATCACATTGATTGATTGAGAGTTTGTTTGTTCTTTTTGTTCCAGATCGAATCGAAAAGTGCATAAAAAACATAATATATATTTGAACGATTTTATTATGCATAATCGTCAAAATGACGTTCTACATCTTTGAGTATAAAACATATAGACGGACACAACTATATGTTCATTTATGTTCGTTTAATTGGAAGTCCAATATTAAATCTGGTTTTTATGTCAATATCTTTTGAATCAGTAAAAAAAACAATCCGTAACATCTAGACGACTATTATGGTACATAAATGTTTCAAAGATTATGTTTTAATCTGCAATCAAACTATTATTCAATATTAGAAATGTCAGATTAGTATTAATTTTACGAAAAACACTGACACTTATCAATAAGTATTAAAATTATTTTCTAATGTTAAATATTACAAAAGTATTAAACATAAATTAAAGAGTAATACTTGAATATTGGTACTAATACTAATACTAATTCTAATGTGGCCCTGTTAATATATTTCATAATTGACCAAGTTTGTGAAGTAATGCTTAGTTATTATTAATGAAGAATAGTCAATGTGAAATTTACATGTATAAATTGTTTCTATGTTCTCTGATCTTTTGAAACGGAACTCAGCAGACTTTATTAAATTTTTCATACATACAATGTAATTCTTTTGAAAGTTTGTCTCTGATTGAAACTTTTTCTCATAAAATAATTGTTAATCACTTGATATAATTCGAACAAAACTCATTCTATTCGTCACATCAATACAGTTATTATACAGTAACATTGTATACAAGCGTTCGTTCTAAAGAATTCGTACATGAAATGCAGCCATCATTATTGGATCCTAACTTATATTAACATAATTTAAATTTTATGCAATAGTACTGACCGTACTATTCTTATGATAGACTGAAAATACAAGAAGATGTAGAAATCATAATATAACTCAAAGCGAATAAAATACAGTTGATTGTATCACGAAGGGCCGATGACATATCTGTCGAATAAAGATTATTTTTTGTATTAGAATAGCATTCGCATTATGAACATAATCAAGACTGAATGAAGGAAAAACAAATGTAAGCATAACCAGTATGATATAAAATAAGACAAGAAATATGACGCTAATTGTGAATGAAATGGGAAATGAATCATATGCATCACCTAGTGAATTTTGAAGTATGGTCCAACCAAATTTAATTGCTGTTATATGACTGAATAATGGAAAAAAATAAATAAGAAAATGAACAATCGTTATTGTATGACGATGTGATGAGTAAACATTATGGTTGTGAGCAATCTGTAAATATCGACAGATATTCAATGTCAAAAGAATATAACTCTGTAAAAGATTTAGATAATTATCAAAGATGGCTTCACCATAACAAATGATTGTATGAGAAAGACGTGCTACACATATTGGCCACCAACGATAAATGTAGAGCAAAAAGAATCGAACTAATAATAATAAATCAGTAGTTAAATAAGTAGTTATCCATGACATTGAACATTTATGCATGACGGGAAATGCTTTTAATTGAATTCGAAATAGAAGATGACTGGTTGTGGCCAAAATACAGATATAGAAGACAGTTCTCATTGTTATTACTGCTTGTTCAGATAATAAAACAATTTTATAGTCTGTTCTGTTATTGATGCTCGAAATTAAATATCCGAAAAAAAACTTAGAAGATCACGAATGGTCTAGACTGTTACGGAGAGAGACAAATGCTCTGTCTTAAGAGATTCAATAATTTTTAAGTTCTGAGCCATCTGAACATCAATTCGTTTGTTTTTATTTAATAACAGTAATTAATGATATTTTGCCCAGCTAATTATATTTAAAGAATTCATAAAGACACAAGTTTATGTATTCTTCGCTGTCAAAATATCATTATTTGCATGGAAAAATCAGAAAGTACTTTGATATTTGCTTATAATGCATCAAATAATTACATAAGTACCAATGATTTCTTCTTTGTTTTGGTCTTTTCCATTTTTTTTCGTTATGAAAACTGTTAGCAACATCTCTGTTAAATTAAAATGTGAAGAACGAGAGGATTTCTAATATTGTGAAAAAAGAATTAATCAATGTATATTTTAGTTTATGAATTTCTACTTACTGCTAATGCATCTGGATAATGAAAGATATTAATCACAATATATTACAATAAGTGTGAAAGAAAAATAAAAGATAATTATCATAAGAATTATCCAGTAGAGCTTGATCTCGGAGCTATATCTGTCACATCTATAACTGAGAGTACTAAATTTCTATTTCTGTACTTTAATTTTCCTATACGATTATGTTTCCTCAAAGTTTTACTCAGACAACCGATAAATGCAAATGTTTTATTTGCAACACTTACGAGTGACCTACACAACATAGTAGCCGTTGTTTAAGCTCATATGAAATTCAAAAGAAGATCTCAGTAATACTACAAAAATCTTTAAAAAACTCGTGTCCATGACTCTATGAAACTAAGTTATGACCATTTGACTGACTCTTCTCTTTAGCTTTGCTTATTTATCGAATAATCGAATAACGGTATTTCGATCTGAAGTTTTGCCCACAAACAGGGCGAGTAACTACTAGAATACCCTGAAATTTTTGCCGGAAAAAATTTTTCTTTGTCGAAAAATTGAATTTTGAAAAAAATCGTTGTTTGCCACAATAATCTAGTTTATTTGAAAATTTCATGTTTCGAGAAAGAAACATTTTTCTCGACTGAAACTTGTATAATACTGTATTGATCATTAACTCTATCCATGAGCAAAATTTCAAATCAAAACATCATTATTTTCCTCTTTGGTAAGCTGGATCGAAACTTCAATAAAGCGTTTCTAGCTCTGTTCCAGAGACACATATGTGTGAACCTTTTAGGGTTTTTCTAGTCGTACCAAGATCTTCTTGTGAATCTAATATGAGCTCAAATAGTAAGTATCATATCAGTTCAGGTAGTTTCATCATTATTCTGGTTTGCTTTCAAGCTCCATAAAAATATTTTTGTTGATGCTTTGAATAGAATATTATTCTGAAAATATTTTTATTTTAAAAGATTGATTATACCACATGAAGAAATCAAAATAGAATAAAACCATATAATTTTTACTATATATTGCATATCAACTGAATAAAAGTGTACATCAAGACGCACTCAAATATCATACAATCGTTTACTACGACGTCATAACTTGATATATCACGATCGAATAAGCATCTATATAGTGGACAGATTTTATTTTAGGTATTAATAATTAATCATTGATTTCTGTTACTGATTCAATATGTCATCACAATATAGTTTTGGATTTCTTTTATACTCTCTTTATTTTCCAATTTCACCTTATTTTGCACTAAAAATATATAAGAAATGTGTTGATTTTATATAAATAAATGCATTCATATACAACGTCGTAAAATAATGATACAATACTTATTATACGAAAGCTTCGACTCTTCTGGGTTTTTATTCATGATATTTGTTTTGAATGGTCTATTCACGGTTGACTGACCTTAATTATAGAGTACCATAGGAAACCCGATTTGAATCAAGCAAGCAAGCGTTTCATGTGCTATACACACATGTGATACAATCAACCTGTATGCATAAATTGAATCATCGACGTATATAAATGCGCATGGTCTGTTTATTTTTCTTCTTGTGTTATAATTACTCGCATAGAAAAATCACAAAAGAATTTGTAATGTTTAAATAAATGTATGTTATGCAATTTTATATTGTAATTTTTATTATTTTTATTGATAATGTTCAAACTCGTATTCAGAAATTTTCATTCAATACAATTGTTGTTTTTGGAGACTCACATACTGATACTGGAAATGTATACAATTTAACCGAACATCATTGGCCTTTAGTTCCACCTTATTATCAAGGCCGTTTTACTAATGGTCCTGTTTGGATAGAAAATATCAATGTTCCATATATTATGAATTTTGCTTATGGTGATGCAACAATTGATAACGATAATTTGGTAACAGGTTTTACTGGACCCAATAGAACAATCGTACCTGGTATTCGTCAACAGATTGTCAACTATTTAACTGGTACTGATGTAAGTAAAACTGATTTATCAAGTACGCTGTATATTATTTGGGCAGGTGGTAATGAGTATCTTATTGAGCCAGCTTTATCTTCAGAGAGAGTATTTGCGTCTCTAGTAGCTGCCGTTTCTGATTTACTTGTTGTTGGAATACAAAATCTACTTGTTATAAATCTACCGCCAGTTCAATCATTTCCTGGAACTAATGATAAGCAGAGATTGAGCAAATTAATAAATCAATATAATAATTATTTATTATCAAATATCACTGGAGTTCAATCTGGCTATTTAGAAGTATCTATAAGAATATTTGATCTATATTCATTAATCACAGAAATTCTTTCGAATAATTCAATGTCTACATTAAATAAAATTGATAAATGTTGGAATATACTTGATGATCGTATTATTTCACAATGTACTAATCCAAATGAATATGTTTTTATTGATGATTATCATTTTACAAGTGTTATCCATCAAGTTATTGCTGACAATATTCAAAATTTTATTTTATCATCAGCTTTGAAAACTTTTTCTTCTTCGAAATTTTGTATTTTCATTTCTATAGTTGTATTTGTTATAAAGAAATTTTAATATAAGTAATTCGGTATGTGAACAAAAGAAAATCAATAGTTTATATTTGAACATTCCTAAGGATCATTTCAAACGTTTTAATCTTTCAAATAGAATGTTTGTAAAATAAAATGATAGAAAAATATCGAAAATTGCAACTATATTGAGAAAGCATCCGCGAGAAAACTAAGAAACTGAGGTAGTGGGCAAAATGTTAGTTTTTGATATTTTTAATGTTCATTCGAAATGTCATCATTTGAAGTCTTTAAATCTATATCGACTTTGAGCACTACTAATTTACTATCAAGAAAGTGGTCGAAATTCGTCCTATAAATATTTATTAGGATTATACTTCAACATGTCAAAGAACTATTTGTGTTATAAACTAAAAATTAGAGTATGAATACATGAAAGAAATGAGCTATTTTAATCCTTACATATAATATAGTTACTGGGATTTTGTAGTCCAACATAAATGAAAAAAGTAGCAATAAACAGGTGCACAATGATCAATGTTTGCCAATATATCTACTGTTATATTTTGAAATCAAAAAGTATCAAGCTGAATTTTTTTTTATATATTATGTAACGTTTTATTCTCTAGAAAATGGTAAAAAGATATTGAAAAGCTTTCCTTTAGGATGAAACGAGGTTCACATCTTTCTTGTATATGGTCGTTTTTTTTATGATTTTTCAAAAAAAGAAAAACATTTTTATCGGCTGTTATTGCCACGATACGATTGTAAATCAAAATAAATGTGACCTTCGGAATCAGCATTAAAAACTACACTATGTCAAACAAATTTTAAAGAAACTGTTTTCCTGTAAAAAAAAAATCATCTATGGTTCGCTACGCCTATATTTTCTTAAAATTTTGCTCCGTGATCTCCCGGGCATTATGTGAAGATAAAAAGTTTCTCTAAAATATATTGGTCTAATTGTAGTTTTTGACGTTGATTCCGAATGTCAAATTCATTTTCCTTTAAGATCGTGTCATAGTAATGAAAATGTAACTTGGTGTCTTTTGCTTTCAAACAATAACAGTAGGTATACTGGCAAACATCGATCATAGTGTATATGTTTTTTGCGACCTTTCTCATTCATGTTGGACTACAAAACCCCAGTAAATATATGATATATAAGGATTAAAATAGCTTATTCTTTCAGCTATTGATACTCTACCTTTTTGTTTAACGCATAAATAATTCTCTGATTTGTTGAAGCATAATCCTAATAAATATTTATGGAACGATTTTCAATTAATTTCTTCATAGTAGATTAGTAGTATTCAGAATTCGATATTGATTAACTTTGCTATAGTACATCCAAATACGTTAAAAATTTGGGTTTGATGGTTCCAGATGATGACCTTGGGAACGAATATAAAAGTTCAAAAATAAAAATTTTGATAAGTGCTGCGTTCACTGTGCTGATTTCTAATCTTATGAGAAAGCGTTTTTAGCCGATCAGTTACTTTCTTTTCAAAAACTAGAGGACGATAGGTTACCGATCATGTTGATTTTGAATATGACCATAAGAAATTCTCTTTCGATCTTTATATGCCGGTTTTCAAGACTAACAAACTTTTTGCAAAATTTTTTTGATTCATACAAATTGTAAAGAATGTTCAATTGCCTAGAACACAGTGACTTTTTCTTTTTGGAACGATTTCTTTTTTTGCAGAAAATATAGTCATTTCAATGCATACAAAAGATACATATCAATATTTCAATGTAAAAATTTCCAGAATGATAATTATTAGTTTATTTAAAATTCATTTTGGGAAAGCAGATACGATTGTTGACTTTTAAACAACTCAATATGCTCAGAATAGATTCAAAACGATTTTCACAAAATATTTGTTGGTCTGGACAACCGATTTTCTAAAATTACTATCTTGATTATGAAAATTTTAATTCTATAGAATTGAAATTTATTGAGAAAAGAACAAATATTATTATTCGATATACTTCTGTAGCAATAATACAAAAATTCTTCGTTCTCCTGCTTAATTATGCTTTTTTTTAGAATCATATCAACCTTATACGAAAGTCAATAAATTCTCAAATCACTAAACATAGAGATGTGTAAGGTAAGCTTTTTTCACATCTTAAATCCTGATTGAGAAAACTTTTCTTATCATTACCCTGCACATTTCTAAAGTCATTAGAGGTGGATGTTGATAAAGAAATGACACAAAAAAAATCTTTTTGATTTTACTGTTACCTTAGTACATCAGATATATGTATCATTTACTTAATAGTATCTCATTCTATACAACAAAAATTTTCAGTAACACTTCAGTAATCAAAGATGTATCTCGTATATCACTATAAGTTCGAACAAGTATGAGTAGAAAAATACAATTTACCGTTTATTTTGGCCAAAGAAATGTATGAACAATGTCTTTTATTGTTTTTCTTGTTCTGTTGGAAATCACCGATTGACTGATGTTGTGTTTTTTCATTTGTTATAGTTGGAGCTATTAGGCATTCCGTTTGTATGGATTCACTTAGTCCGATTGTTCTCTATTCTTTTCATTCTTATATGAAACAAAGGTGATTCGAGCACCAACATTTCAAAGAAAATTAATGATACAAATGATTTTGTGGTCTAAAAAGCATTACAAAGATTCTCAAAATTAAGTAATTAAGTTAAAAATTTAAATCAAGCGTAAAAAGAAAGATAATACTGAACTAATAATTTGTTATAAAATAAGATTTGCTTGTATTTAAAATATATGAAATAGATATTTTTAAATACGTAGTGACATGGCGGAGCAATATATATATATATTATGACAGATTTATAGACAAGAATGTCATTATTATGATTGTTTATTTGACTTCATCAATTGACTTTAGTAACAATTATCAAGGGTGTGTTTCGAAGAAAACTAATGACCTTGTTTGTTTTCAATGCAAAACAGACATATAGTAAATCATTTATTCTTTTTCTTGTTCCTTTATATCGATTCAATAAACAATGATTGTAATAAATCACGTAGAAAGAAGCAATTTGGTTTTATTTTGTCCGAGTAGAGAAATTACTTACACGATAATATATAAAAATAAAAATGTACTTCCCTTATCTGTAATGTCATTTATTGTTTTTTTATAAAAGAAAAAACAAAGGTCATCATTTTCTAATATTTATCAACAGATACAAAGTGTGATATTTGTGACAGCACCTGCTCTTTTTCTAGTCTAGAACTTGAGTAAATATCGTATATATGATCTGCAAATTTCATTGAAAGTTTTGATATTGTTATCGAATCATCGATACAATACGAATTCATAGCGTTGAAAATAGTATTCAATTATTTCCAAGCCATTAATATTTAATTGATTGTAATATAATAATAGTTTCAAGGATATTTAATGCAAAAACATTTTGTCTAACTCTTTCAGCATGAGATTTTTTTGCTGAGTAAACACGACATTATTTTTCATTTATAATCAGCGTTATTAATCTTTCAAAGACTAATATAGCGTATATGTATGTTACTTGTGCCAAATTAGAGACTAGTGCCAGTCAGATCAATGATAAATTATGCACATCAATAGATTTGACCTGTTCTGGAACGGGAATTGTATAAATATATATGTATTTGACGTCCCAAATGAGTTACAACTGGATTTTTCATTTTGAATAAACAGAGACATAATTCTTAACTCTTTTATATAGAGTTATGTTTTGAAAAGGAAATATTAACAAAAATTTGAAAAATTATACACTCTAGAGTTAATATGATCAATTTCATATAGAACTGAAGACAAATTATTCATTTTTTAATCGTATATATTATCTATATCTAAGCTAGTGATGAGAACATTTTACATATTATTTACATATTCTGTTTTTTTGGTCACACTCATTAAATAATCATTTTCTTTAGATTGTACTATATCGGAAATTAGGCAGTTTATTTAAGTTTTTATATAAACTACTTGTATATTTGCTATTTACAAATGTACATATAAATATACATTAATCAGTATCAATTTTTTATATACTCAATCAGATAAATAACTTCTAATAATTTCTAATAAAATATAGATTCAACCGACAATTTGCTAATATATTTACGCTATACCAATCATTATCATTACATCTGTATTATTTATCATTTTTTAATAGTATTTCATTGAAAAAAGAACGTAAGTTGCAAATTATGATCTTCTTTTTTTGCGTAATAATATTAATATTCATGCATCACCTGAAATTTCAGATATATTGTGTGATATTACATGCATGACGCATCTGAAAAATGGCGTCATATAATTATGATCAATGTCGTTTGGTTATATTTTTTCTAGAAAGTAATATGAATATAATTTTTATATGAATTCATTTTTGTCTATATCAAATAGAAGCGAGAATCGAATGTCAATTTCATTTTCAATGTTGATCATGATCTTTTTACATTTAACTGCATTATGTAATTATGTTCGACTCATGATTATAGCATTTAAAAGTATTTATAACTTTTTTAATTATGGTTTTTTTTTGTATATTTTCTATAGGCAAAGCAATCGAGCAACTATTGCTTTTAGTTGTCAACAAGAAAAAAAAAAGAAGACTACTTTAAATAAAATGGCGGATCACTTGAATGCATCATCTCAAGTGTCATCAATGATAAAAAATTCAAAAGTACTCTTATTAAATATTTAAAATTATTATCAAACATATTGACTATTGGTTATTCATAAGTTGTGAGAATATCATAATATATATAATGATGTCTTAGTTCCGTGACTGCGAACAAAAAAAAACATACGATAAGGTCTTGATGATGTCTATTTTGTTGTGTTATCTGTATTGGCATCTGCAAAACTAATTTTTATATTTCGATCTCTAAGAAAGGTCGACTGCATCGAGATATAATTTATTTATCATCATTCTGATGCGTACACTATAGAAGGAACCTAAAACTTGATCAATCGTGCGCAGTTGGACTACTGCCAAGGTTGTTTTATAATGCAAATATATACAGACAGGCAGCAAGGGTTATATGTGTTATAACATATATACACATACTATAGACGTCATCAATCGTAAGGAAGAGAAAAACATAATGCTTAATATGGTTATATTTTTTACAACAACAGTACAGGGTAAATAATTGTTGTCAGCAAGTTGTATTTTTTTATTTTTCTAGAGCATTTTGACCCAAATAAGCACGTACATAAAAAAAGAAATCGATCATCAGTAACTGTATTTTGCACTTATATAATAGATGTGTTTCAACTTGAATCCAATGAATACAAAAGCATATTCATTTTTACATTAATTGTTTTTTTTTCTGTATTTTCATATGAATGACAAAGAATACGCATATCGATAATTAAATTTCAGCAGATGCTGAAAATTACTATGTGAGGGCGAATATAAAAGAAAAAGAAGAAATTAGACACGTAAATAATGCAATGTACTTAACATATATATAAGTTTCCTAATAGAAACATCAAAGACTAGACATGATTGCAAGATTATAGTACAGAAAAGTGTTTTTTTTTGTCTATTACTGATTCAAGACGTAGGATTAGTTTATTTTATGAGAGAGAAAAAATTTGTTTTATTTATTTTGAAATCGTGCAATGTCGAATGGTAATCATCTGATGAATAGAAGATAACTGTAAGTTAATCCATTTCGAGAACATCACTTATCTTATAAACTATTTTTCTTTTCTTTTCTTTTCTACATATTTTCTCAATCAGTCTAGACGTACGTCAATGACGACAAAAACAAAACTCAATGTCAACTAATGGTTGTGATACTGAGATATATATATGAATGTAACATGGATGGAAGACCTAAAGAAATATTCTTTTTTCTTTCTTTTTTTGTTTCTTTCTCTAAGATATATATATCCTAGTCCTAATCTAATCATTCGACTGATTCATAGAAAACATCTATTCGAGCTAACCAGTACGTAATTTCCAAAATAATTAAAACATGTTTTTTTTATAGTACACACACACACACTCATCCATTAACAATGTTCATTGATTATGTCGATTACATATTCATTATCGTTTGAGTATATGTATTTGACTGAATTATGATGAGATTTCAAATGTAGACATCATGAATGATGAAGAAAAACTATAGAATAGAAGAACAAAATGCGTTTCTTGCATGTTGTCATTTTGACTATCTGCCGATTCTGATTAAATTTATTTCTTCTTTTTGTTTTCCACCAATAGTATACACTTCAAACAATATTTCTTCGTTTTTTACAGGTAGATTACTATCTCTCATTTAACTGTGATATATTTTACAATGTGCTTTCAGACACAAAATAAAAAGAAAGAGTTTCGTTTTTATGCAAATATTGACTATTTTAAGGACATCATAAATTACAGATGATATTTTTTATAAATATACCCATCTAAGGAGATAAGAATATTGACCAAGGAAAACCTAAATATAGAACGCGTGTGTATTAATAATATCTTTACTTCTTTAAAAATATTTATTTTTATTTTATTTTTACTTTAAAGTATAATCAATGTGGTATTTGAATAGATACGTATAAAAAAGTTTTCTTTATTTTTTTTTTTTTGTTAGTTTTTAGATGACAAAACAAACAGTGAGAAAATAGAATACGTCGGATAATAGAAAGAGATAGGATTACCAATTATTGTTATTTTTGGCACAGTTTTATTTTAAACTGAGCTTTTAACATAACTAATTTCATATCAAAAGAAATTTCTATTTTAAGATATCACTATGCTGAGGAGGTTATCTTGATCGTAACCTAGAGAGTCAAAAGTTATCGTTTAGTTCGGCTGATTGTTTTTCCATATTGTTTCGCATCTTTTATTATTAAAGAATTACCATGTGAAACGTAATGTATTCTCAACGATTATTGGTTATAAGAATATGTTACGTTGAAATTCAATCATTATTGATGGATGAGAAAGAAGCATAAGAGATGTATCATCATGTAAAAAAAGTGAGTGCATCAGTTTTATTCAGTTTTTAGATACTTGTCACCGATAGAATAGCGAGGGCGGTTTATAATGACCATTTGTGACAAAAAAAAACAATCACGATAAATAGAAATTGTACGTTTATGAATATCTATGATTATGAGAATATCAATGGCAGCTGTTGTTTTTCAATTCAGTTGAATTCAAAGAACGATTCAGAACGAAGAAAGAAGAAACGAGAAAGGCGCGTACGTGACCTATTTTCTTTTTGTGCATCGGAGATGAAACTCAATCTCGAGAGATAGCGTAGAAACAAGTTTCCACACATGAAACAGATGAATGCTAGATAGCGGCCTCTCTGAAACACTCTATCCAATTGGATAATTTCTATTTCGATCTTTAATGATGCATACATCACTGATTAGGAATAGAGTATATCTTGTTATTTATTATTCAATATGATTTATTCGTACAAATTATAGTCAAAACATTAAGAGGGCGAGACAAATGTCTAATATTTCTCCTTTGACCTCCGGTACAATGACATTTTAAAGTAAACCGAAAATGCCAAAGAAAATAGTGTAAGACACCTATTATTAATAAATTACAATTCAAAGTTGCACTTTCGAGTGTACGCAATTTAGTTTTTTTTTTCTTTATCGTCTAAATCGATGTTTTGTCATTTATACAAAAACAACAATACCATGCGTACATATTTCTTACGAGAATGCGACCTACAAAAAAAAAGTGAAAGAAAGAGAAAAACATCGATTAATGACAAAAGAGCAATAGTCTAAAGCGCATATCGTTATAGTTTACATCGGCATTTCAACTGCATTGAGAATTTTTATTACTCAGATATTACCTATATGTTCCTAAATAAAAGGATAAGAGTTTTTTTCCCTCGAAAAGCCTTTACAAAAATTATTTCATGGTTCATTTTCATTTATGAATATTCGTGAGTAAAAGCCACGTTTCATGTTTATTTGCTCGTCTATGTACACCTTTTTTTTCTGTCTGTGTTTATATTTATTTAGAATTTGTAATAAATTCGGTGGCATGTTGTTTTGCTTATGAATTTTTTTTTTTTGTAGATACGACATAAATAATTTCTTATGATTTTTCTTTGATAAATCAAAGAAAATATTTGAGTTTGTTTCGATTTCTATTGTTTACTTTACTTTTTATTTATTAATGACGACTAAGTCATCAATACAAAATATTAAGTCAAGATTTTCAAGTAGTAATAGTGCACATAGCATGGCAACAAATGATAATGATAAAAAACAAAGTCGAATACATGTTAAAAAACCATTTAGTACAACAAATTTTTTACAAAATAATTCAACGACAAATGGTTTTACTAACCATTTTAAAAAACGGACATTACAATTAAATAATTTTTTTCATTCAAAACTAAGAACTAACTGCTCAAATGAGCCAACGCATAATCATCAATCTGACGAACGTTCGACATCACCACCACATGTCTTTCATGCTATTGCTCCAGCTTCATCAGAAGAAATAAATAAATCATCACAATATGCTTACAATGAACAAAAGGTAGTTTTTAGTTTTCATTTAAAAAAACAATTTGATTGAACATATTTTCATAGTTTCTGAGCTAGAACTTCGATTTCGGTAATAATCTAGAGGAAAATGTTTTTTAATTTATTCATATTAGACCTAAGAAAAAATCATCAATACTCTTTGATCTATTCAAGTGATGAATATCACTTTTGAGGGCATTTCTTTTGCATGTGGCTTTGATCAAGATGATTAATGAGAGAATCCGCTCAGAAAAACACAGGATGTAATTGTACTCCCGATTTCCGGTTCGAACAATATCTCTTTCTCATGGTCCCGACAAGTCGTCAGGTTTTGACTTGGATCGAATCAAGAGTGATCATGTATATTTCGTCTCAAGGCCAAACGAAAGGCGTTAAAAAAATACAATAAAGTAAATGACGACTAGGAATTTCCGTTAATCATAAGTCTATAATTGCTATCATTACATGTGCTTGTTTATAATATTTTTCATGTCTGTCACTCTATTAAAGTATTTGCCTTTTCGTTCTGTTTTCAGCCCCATGACGAATCGAAATCACCTTTGCATCCTCGTATCAATCATGTACTTGCCCATACTGTAATCAAAGCAATGACAACCGATCATCATTCAGCTGTAACACAATCCAATAATTCAGAGGAAGATGAAAACTCGCCAAAATTTTATCCTGTATTATCATCAATAGATGCTGATGCTGATGAATCTGATAATAGCCCTAATAAAACTACGAAAAAGCCACGTCGTTTACAAAAAACACATCGAACAAGTATTGCATCGCTACAACAAAAATATGAAAACAATAATTGTAAAGATGAACAACAACAATCAAGTTCTGATGAAAATGAAAATAAAGAATCAAATTTAATCACAAACGGACACAATGAACGAAGAACAAAATTATCATTAGTTAAACGATTCGACCGTTTACCAGCAGCAACAACAATTGATAAGGATAAAAAACAAAAATATGATTATTATCATCCATTAGATAATCTTGAATCGAAATTAACGGCAACAAATGAATCAACACCATTGAATCCAAAAATGACTGTATCAACAAATCAATCATCTGTAAAAAAAGTTAATCGATTTCAAGTTAAATCAATACGTAAATCCCAACAACCACAAATTATGTTAGCCAATACAGTTGCAGCTAAATCTTCAAATAATGATGATTATTCTGTATCAAATAAAAGTTCAAATTTATCATCAAAATCATCCTCTATTGAAAGACAACATACAAATACACCAACAACTGATATAGAAAATCCAGTAATGAATACAAATCATACAGTTAATGGTACTATTTCAACATCTATTAGTGTTGAAAGTGGACATAATCATGTCCATTTTCAAGCTACGTCACATGAAAAACAAGATTCAGCTGCCGATGATGAAAAATCACCTAATCTAACAGTTACAGCAGTTACAGTACCACTTACAACTCCACATTCATCAACAGCTTCAGCACAAGGAGAGGTTAGTACTTGATTTGTTTTCATCTAAAATTTTTTTTTTGTGTAAGATTTGAAAAACGCTAAATCATCATTACTCAAAACTTCAATACTATACTAACGAAGAAACGTTTATAACTAGACAATCGCTTTCTCACGAAAAGCCACTCAATTCGGAATTATCGGTCATGCTGATGTAAAATATGCCCATAAGGAATTTTTTCTTAGGTTTTTCTAGAAAGTTGAGTTTTCAAATTATCAAATATTTTTGCCAAAACTATTTTGCATCTATTCACAGCATATTCACATTGAAATGTCGGAATATCTGGAAAAGACGCAAGCATTAGCCAAATCGGTAACTGATATCATCAGTACTCGATTTGGCTTGTTGAGTTGATTCTGCGAACAGTCATATTCTCTATAAAAAAGTAAGTCGACTCGACCTAGACACATACCCCCTAAATATTAGTTTTTTATATGTTAGCCTCAGAAAAGATAGAACTGATGTATGTTCTCAATGTTAAGTCTTATAATTGAATTTTATATATAGCTCGTGTGAACGTGTCCAATCGATCTCTATTATCAATTTGCATATTTGATAGTATAGACTATCACATACGCTAGAATTAGCATCATATCCTCTTCTTTTTCTTGTGTTGAGAAATAGCTTGACCTCGGACAACAGTGTGACAATCAATGCTCAGAAAAAGATACCAGAAGGAAAAATATAATAAAGGTATCGGTACAGCACATCAAAAATCAAAAGACTGAATGAAAAGAAACACGTCATCAGTCAAAGAAGGATAGGATATGACGCTGATGAAAGCGTATATGAAACTCTATATTGTCAAATATGGAAATTGATAATAGTGGAAATATTGGACACGTTCACACAAACTATATGCAAAATTCAATTAAAAAGCTTACTAATGAGATAATACATCTCTGCTATTTTTCTAAGGCTAATATATAATGGTCTAATATGTTGAATATGTGTCTAAGTCGAGTCAACCTATTATTTATTGGTACTAGATATGAGTTTTTATGTCTTTTTACGGATACTTGAAATATTAATATATATTTCTTGGATGCATTAAAATAACCATATGTTCTTCAAAAACAAACGCTTTAAAATAGAAAAGTTCTTGTTTTCCGGGCAATTCAATATTCTCTATAGTCTGCATGAATAAAAAAAGTTTTTTGTAAAAGAAGTTTATTAGTGTAAAAAGCCAGCATATGAAAGGACCTAAGACAATGTTTTATAATTTTTCTTTTACCGTAGGATGATGAAGAAGAAGAAGCAGTTGCTAAAAGTCCCGATAATCGTTTTATCAAATATGCAAAAGAAATTGGTCGTGGTGCATTTAAAACAGTTTATCGTGGTTTAGATACTGAAACAAGTGTTGCTGTTGCTTGGTGTGAATTACAAGTAAGATGAAGAAATTTTCTTTTTTTTTCTCTTTGCTTTAAATATAATTTTATTAATTGAATAGGATTTTGCACAATTTGATAAACATGAACGAGCACGTTTTAAAGAAGAGGCTGAAATGTTAAAAAAATTACAACATCCAAATATAGTACGATTTTTTGATTTTTGGGAAGAAACAAATCCAAGAACAAATAAAAAAGTTATTATTCTTGTTACAGAATTAATGACATCTGGTTCTTTAAAAGGGTAAGATACAGAAAAAAAAAACATAGTTCCAAATAAAATTTATTTATTATTGTTTATTTAAAGATATATACGTAAATTTAAAGGACAAAAAGAAGAAAAACGTATTAATGTAATGAAAAAATGGTGTCGTCAAATTCTTAAAGGTCTTGCTTATTTACATAGTCGTAATCCTCCTGTTATACATCGTGATTTAAAATGTGATAATATATTTGTATCGAGTACAACTGGAAGTGTTAAAATCGGTGATCTTGGTTTAGCCACATTTAAAACTCAAACATTTGCTAAAAGTATGCGTGGTACTATGGAATTTATGGCACCAGAAATGTTTGATGAAAAATATGATGAACTTGTTGATATATATTCATTTGGTTTATGTATGTTAGAAATGATGACAGGTGAATATCCATATATTGAATGTAAAGGACCAACAGCTGTCATAAAACGTGTTACAGCTGGCTTAAAACCGGATTGTTATTATAAAGTTGAAAGTGAAGATGTACGAGAAGTGATTGATTGTTGTATACGTACAAAGAAAGAAGAACGTTTACCTGTACATGAATTATTACAACATTCATTTTTTCTTGATAATAATGGATTACGTATTGATTTTGTACGTGATCCAACTAATCATTCACAAGTTATGGTTACAAATAATTCAATTAATTTAAAATTAAAAGTTGTTGATAAAACAAAACGTAAATCATTATGGACAGAACATGAAGCTCTACTTTTTCGATATAATTTAACAACTGATACACCTGAACAAATAGCTGATGAACTTATTAAAACAAATTATATATTTGATGAAGATAAAAAATTTGTTATACAATCAATTAAAGATCGAGTTCGAGCTTATCAATATGAACTAATTGATCGACAAGCTGGAGTTTTTGGTCCAGATGGAAAACCTACTATTAGTCAAACATCACAATCATCGTTTACTGGACAACAACAACAAATATCAACACCTCAGCAACAAGTTTTGCCATTATCACAACAACAAGTTGCATTCCTTCAGCAACAACAGCAAGTACCACCAACACAACAACAATCGGGACCTCCATTATTAGCACAACCTCAAGTATCACTTCCTTCTATGCCATCAACACTTCCAGTAATTCAACAACCACCGATGGAAGTACAGCAACAGCAACAACAGCAGATGGTTAAACCATTATCAGAAATCTCATCAACTAAATCAGTTGGAGTAACAGAACCAATAGCAATTCCACAGCTACCTGAACATGGAACAAGTGTATCTGGTTCAGCTGGTAGTCTTGAAATACTTAATGAAGCATTAAAAAAAACCTTTACGAAAAGTAATACGTCTCCAAATACAAATACTACATCAGCGATTACCAATGACATTAGTGAGCAAATAATATCATTGGCTAATCAAGATGATTCATCGGTTTTAAGACTGGGAAGTGATACTGCTGTTGTTGATCAACAACAAATCGATGAATCTGTAGTACCATTGCCTGTTGAATTGACTACAAGTAAGTAAATAAAATGTCATTTAATATCTATTGACCATTAACTATTTCTCCTAGATATTTTTCATCTATCGACACCATCAACATTACAGACTCAATCTCAACCAACGACAATGTTAACTACTTCCCAACAACAAATGTTACAAAATCCTCTTCTTCTAACTCAACCGTCACACAGTTTTTCTTATTCAACAGCACCTCCTGCTCAACATCTTATCACTACAATCTTACCAAATGATACTATAAAGCAACCAATAACTTCTTCTTTGACGACAGCACTAGTACCAACGGAGACTATTGAAAATAGTCTCCTATCAACATCTTCTGCATATACAAATGAAACACTGCAACCTTCTATTCCGTCAGATACGTTAGCGACTCCTCAGCAACCTGTAAACAAAAATTATTTA